TCTGACTGATAAAATTTTTGTTTTTTTGCACTATTTTGTAATAATTCCAAACACTAGATTTTTCTCTTGGCATTGTGCTATGCCTATAAATAAACAACAAAATGTAAGAATGATTTTAACTTTGTTTATTGTTTTTATTTTCTTTGCCTTTTTTTAAAAAAGTTTTTTGTGATGATGCTGAATAATCCGGCTTCATTGAGGTTATGTAACATAACTTACATTATTTATACTTCTGCTTTAAATTAACACACATTAAATTCTTATTCAAAGTTTCTTGGCCTTGTATCATGGCCTTAACGAAAATCAGCGGTTAAACAATTGACATTTAAATGAAAAAAACAAGGAAAGTTTCCAAGGAATGTTTTCAAGGAATGTTTCCGGTAGCTTAAAAGAAACTTTCAAAATGAAAATAAATTCCCAATTGGAAACTTTCCAAAACGGAAAGTTTCCTTAAAATGGAAACTTTCCGATTCCCATCTCTAGGTATAACGTTAAAAATTAAAAAAATATTTTATTTTATGTATAGTAATAGCCGTCCAAATTTTGTCATTTTTTTAACGTGCATTCAACCAAACTTTTTGCAAATAGTAATGGTGCCCCAGGTTGCCCCAATTTCTTTTGTGTGTGGAAGTGTTTGTTAATATATGAATAATGGTCATTATTAAGGATTTTGACGGGAAATGTTGAGAAACTTGGCTACACTTGATTTTATGTCAAAAAATGTGTATTAGAGCTGATTTTTTTAAACTTTTGTCTTTATTTTCCGAGTTTTTTTTAAATCTGGTGCCTTAAAATTAATTAAAAACATAAAAATAATAAATATATATTAATTTAAAACTAATTTTTATAGCCAATTGGCTATAAAAATAACTTCTTAACTTTCTTGCTAACAACATCCATTTCAAATACCCAAATTTAGCAATCTAACGGATTTGAGAAAAATGAATGGCAGATGAGGTATCTAAACAGAAAACTTTAAAAGGATAAGAGTACAAGTGCGGAATCTCTTTTAGCTTTGCAAAAGGCCATTAAAAACATAAAAAAGTACGTAGAATAAAAAGTTAAAATCGAAAATAATAAAATTGGTATCGTCCCAGAAAAAATTGAACACCCTGTATAAATTAAATTACAACATTAAAAAATATGTATTAATTCAAATATTTTTGTTCCCTACAAATTTTTCATGACTACAGTTGTTATATGGGTTATCTTACGTGGTTCACCCTGTACTTAGCTTCTTTTAATTCTAACTAATGGTTAAATTTATTAAAAATTATCTTTTTGTATAACAAAAAAGCATTTTTAATATGTTTTTCAACAAAAATGTTTTTGGTCACCTAATCACTCTGTTTACGACATAGTGCGCCGTTTTAACATTTATTAAATAATATTTTATTTTAAAATTTTATTGGTTTAAAATTTTAAAAAATTTTAAGAATTTTAGGTTTACATTTAAAATTTAAAATATTTTCAACTATCATGTATTGAAAGACAAAATTTACAGTTCACTTCTGTATTAAACCATTGAGTAAGATTCCTTAGTCAATGGTTAGCCTTTATAGGGCCCTTAGTTCGTTAAAACCACGTTTATGAAGGGCCATTATATAGCCTTTAGAGGAAAGTCGAGTAATTTCAAGTAGGCGCGTAATTTTGGATAGTGGTGTATGTTTGAAACTAATCAAATCATTAAACGCAAACTGACTTTAATGCAATCTAAAAAGTTCAAACAAGCATATCCAGTGTTATTTAGATGATACTAATCACTCTCCATTAGATGGCAGCGGTAAACATCGGAACCACGTTTTGTAGTTTTTTGTTGTCATAGTTTAAGCCGTGTTTTTTTTATAAATATTGGTTGGAAAAATTTGTATTTTTTACCTGGACAAGGTAAATGTTTGTTTAAGAGAAAACTACGAAATTTTTTCAATAATTTAAAAAAACTTAACGCAAAAAGTATAAAGTTGCCTAATTTCGGATGGTTGACGTTTCTCAATTCCACCTATCCGAAATTAGGAATCCAAAATTATCAACTAAACATATTCCAACATTTAGAGTCGCCTAAGGAATATAATGTTTATATATGTGACTTATGCATGGGCTAATAAATATGTTGTTACTAAAAAAATTTTTTTAATTTCGGATAGGGTGTCCGAAATTGGGAGCCCAATTTTAAATTTGTAAAATTTGCAATTACTACAAAAACCTCATTTTTTGTAAAAAAAATGTTTTGATATTAAAATTTGTTTCTTTGCAATGCATTGATACTAGCCAATAGATAAAGCATTAAAAAAAAGGTATCTGAAATTAGGCGACTTTCCTCTACGGTTGTGTTTGCTGGGGAAAGTGTGCAAAATGACATTAAAATTACTTACTTGTAGTATTTGGCGGAACCTTTACAATTGGGATTGCCCAAATCTATCCAACTCTCAATAACCGTTTCAGATTTATTATTTTCTGGGTCAATTTTAAGGATGGTTTGCACACCAGGGTGTTTAATATTTGTGCGCCTTATAGCGCCATCTTCCGCCAACTTGTTGCTCAAATGCAACCAATTCCACACGCTCGCCAACATATCGTTATTGTCTATCGCCAAATCGTTTTTATCGAGTTGATCCTACATTGGAGAAAATTAGCAAATGTAATTTTAAAAAAATGCTTTTGTAACCTCTAGTTCGTAGTTATTTTTAGCTCTCTGGCGAATTTTGTAAGAAATATCGTCAATTTCAAACTCTTTTACGTATTTTAAAGCTTTTCTACCATACGTCCACATAACATTAGATATGGGCGACCAGTTAAGTGTTATTCGGTCATAAACGGTGTAATCAGAAATCACACCTACAATTTTTTATTATATTAAAATCTACAACATTACAATCATCTTACCATTGGATGCAATAGATAGAAATCTATTTTCGTCAGTAGGGTGCCATGAAATTGACGCAATGTTATGATAACTGCCAGGAGTTACAACCCTCTCCAAAATAACAGGTTCCACATCCTCATTGGAAACAGTGGTTTGTTGTATATCATACAAATTGACAACGGAGCTTTCTTTCTGAACTGCGGCAACCATGTTTATCCTTCAATACAAAAACAATTAAATATAATAATAATAATGAAGTGGTGTTTTTTTACTTTGTTGGACACCAAGCTATTTTTACTATGGGTTTTAGAGGTGTTATAACCAGGACAGGTTTTTCGAAATTTCTGGTGTCCCAAACCGAAATTTGGTTATCGAAAAATGAGGCTATTTGCCTGTCATCCCTAGGATTTAAACAAACGCCATACACCGCCTTAGTGGGGGTGGATACCACGTTTTTGGAGTGATCTGGAAAACATTAGCTTTGAAAAATAATAATTAAGGTGGATTTAGCCTGCATTTAATATAATGTAATGTAACGTAAGGTAATTTATGTATTTAATATTTAATAAATATTCAATGATTTCGAATAGTTAAATATTTAGTGTTTTTTTGTTTCTTTAGTTTTTTTTAATTAAAATAATATTACGTTGTTGATTGCCACTTATTTTCAAATGTTTATAAAATCACAAAAGAAAACAGGTTTTTCCCAATTTTTCCGGTTTTTTACGACCCTTTAAAACCCTAGTTTTTTAGCCAAATCGCTCGACAAGTTTCTTTTTTAATAAAATAAAATGTAAGGTAAAATTACTACTTTTTATATATCTGAGGTAAGTAGAAATTTCAACACTTTTAATTTTATTACCTATATTTTAAGGAAAAAAATATTAACCGTTTAATAATTAACAATAATTGTAATGGGGATCTTGTTACTAAAAAATCTCATAATAGAAAAAATATGAAGTTTGCTTAATACAGCAAAACATTCTTTAGATTATTTACTATTTTAGCAATCATTTAAAAGAAAATTAAAAATTATTTTGTTTGATATATAACACGGTATATTTTTGTCGAAAACAAACGAAATATGGCTAAAAATGACAATTTTGTAAGTCCAGGAGCTACTAAATGGATTTTGTTTTGTTATGTATATTTTGTTGTTTTTTAAGAAAAATTTAGGTTGTGATATATCATTTTAAAAAGAATTTAACAAAGTAGAACCTAAAAATATATATCTTTTAAATTACTTTTTAAAAAAGAATTTTTTAGCACAACTAATTTATTTAAACGCAGTCAAGATGGCATACTTAATTTAAAAAAAAAGTTTTCAAGATTTAAGCTAAATTTTAGGAATTTTATGAGTTTTAGGTGTGGGAGCCCTGATTATATTAAACGGTGGCTAAATCCACCTTAAATCATTTTATGACCCTTACAATAATAATAATAACTTTCAAACACTTGAAAACGAAATATTTTATTTGGTAGGTAATTTTTTTAACATTTTGCCTTTTACCTCTTATGTCATATATCCTCAAATGCTTCAAATTCATCCCACAAGCAATTAACTTGCTATTAGTTCTGAACCAAGACAAACTGTGCGCGAATTCTGCGTTTCCAAATTCGGCAACCGGTCGTACATAATCGCTGGATACAGGATGAAATGCAATTTTTGAGGAGTTTGGTTCATGAGCTAGCTTTGAAATATCCCAGATCAGTACAGAATTATCTTGTCTGTGTTTATCCAGCCCTGCTGCTATCAAGTTGGGCTCATTGGGGTTAAAGGACACTACATTACATTGCCTGCCATGTCTAGGAACTAAAAATAATATTAATAAGGGTCCCATGTTGGAACCTTGGGGCACACCAAATACTACCTAATTCTTTGCCGGGGTATCCGTATAAATCGTATTCCGAAGGCCCAAAAGTGGACAGCAATACTTTACCATTGGAAATGCCTATTGCCATTAACACATCGGAATGGGGTTTTGGGTAAATATCAATACTTTTAACATATAGGTGGTTAGGGTTTGTCGCAATAATATGCGCGCATGATTTATTCGATATCTTAGTTACCCCAGAAACTACAATAATTTTTATTTGTTTAAAACAATAACAATAAAAAAACAACACCAACCTTGTGTGTAAGAATCTCTTAGGGGTTGAACCTCGTACAGGGTGACATCTGACCCCCACGTTATAAATCTGTTCGGTATCGGAGACCACTGTATTTCCAGTTTTCCAGACATGTTTACATGCCTGAAATATCACAAGTTATTTAAAAACTTTGTAAACAAACTTGTAGGTTATGTTCTGTTATCGATTGTCAAGTGTTTAATTTCGTAATCCCATGTAAAAACAATTGAACAGGTGGCATACTTACGATGGAAGATCTCTGATGTTTCCAAACGATGCAACCCTGGAGATTTTTTTAAATTCTCCTTCGAGATCCATATTTAAGAAGTGACATTTAACAACCGTGTGCTAACCTTAAAATGTGTTTTGTTTCCACAATACTTGGGTAAACCACCAAAGCAACATGTATAAATTACCTATAGGTTATAAACTTTAGTTATAACTATAGTGCCAGTGATATTACAAAATCATAAACAATTTAAGTACATACACAAAGTGTGTAGTTTTAATAATAAATTAAAATGGGTACTTTTTATGTTCAACAAGAGGGGCCTCTAAGCGCTTTAGCTTTAAATAGGGACAATACACAGGTTGCTGTAGGAGGCAGAAACGGTAATTTTTAATTAAACAACAAAACGAACATACCCACCAACTTGTTTTTGTTTAGTTTTTAAGGTGTATAGTATAGAAGAAAATAAATTTAAAGAAATAATCAACTTGAGAGCCTCAAAACATCTGAATCAAGGCTTTTCATGCAATGACATATCTTGGAGTGCCCTGGATGGTAAAAAACAATTGCATGTTATTTTTTTAATAGATACGTAACTTTATTTTCTTTTAGACCAATATTTGGCCACTGCGGCAACAAATGGACATGTTTGTGTATGGAATCTCATGAAAAGCGGGAAAGCCATGCAAGAACAAGACTACCAAGATCACAGACGTACTGTGAACAAGGTTAATTTTCATGCCACAGAACCATTTAAACTGATATCTGGTTCTCAGGATGGCACAATGAGATATTTTGACATTAGAGTTAACAGTGCTGTGTCTGTTTTTATCAGGTACCTACTTACTTAACTTAATTTGATTAAATTCTTGATTTAACAATTAATTTTTCTTACAGTAATACTGAGAGTGTTAGAGACGTGCAATTCAGTCCACACAACCCTTTTGCCTTTGCTGCTGTGTCAGACAATGGCAGTGTACAGTTATGGGATATCAGAAAACCCGACAGGTTGCAACAGCAATTTACCGCCCACAGTGGACCAGTATTTGCTTGTGACTGGCATCCAGAAGCATCTTGGCTTGCTACTGCCAGTAGAGACAGAACTATAAAAGTAAGTACATACCTAATAATATACATAACAGAAAAGGGTGATTATTTTTTGGAAAACCTAAGTTTTGTTGAATTTTTACCCAAGCAATTTTACTTAAAACGGTAAAATATTTAGAGGGCATATAATTTTTAAGATGAATCATGCCTATTTTTATTAATAAAATAATGTGAGTTTAAGTTTTAATGCAAAATATTATTATTATAATATTATTAGGTAGGTAGGTATATTAGTTTTTTAAATTTTACTCTAGGGTGGCCTTTATTACTTTATAAGTACCTACTTACCTACCATTTTCTAAAATATAAATTACGAATGTCAATGTTTTAGAAAGAGAAAGCAAACAGTTAGTAATTATAGCGTTATTTTTACGTAAATTTTTGGTATTTATATTGTTTTTATTACGTAATTCTCTTAGATCAAAAACTTTATTATGTAGGTTAAATTACGAAATATACCATTCCCCAAATTTGGTAATTTTTCGTATCAATACCGTTATAAAACCGTTTTGGTTAACCGGAAAATACTTTAAAGTTGACTTAGTAGTAAATTTGTGGTTATTTAAACTTAAAATGCTGCTTGGGTTGGTTATTTATTTATTTATTATTTGTCGCTAACGAGGTTTTGACATTTGTCACTTACGAGGTTTTAACATTTGTCAATTACTAGGTTTCGGCATTCATCTCTTACAAGGTTTTACGATTTGTCACTTACGAGGTTTTGGCATTTGTCACTTTCAAGGTTTTGCATTTGTCAGTTTAGACATTTTTCATTTATGACGTTTTGGCATTTGTCGCTTACGAGGTCTTGTCATTTGTCACTTACGACGTTTTGGCATTTGTAACAAACGAGATTTGGACATTTTTCACTTCCGAGGTTTTGGCATTTGTTGCTTACGAGGTTTTGTTACAATAAATAATGCAAAGGGTAGAAAAGATCTTTTTGCAATTTTCAGAACTAATGCCATTAGTCACGAGGTTTTGACATTTGTCATTTACGAGGTTTTGCTATTTGTCACTTATCTACAAGATTTGGACATTTTTCACATACATTTTTCACTGACGAGGTTTTTGGCATTTGTCGCTGACAAGGTTTTGACATTTTTCACTTACGAGGTTTTAACATTTGTCATTTACGAGGTTTAGGCATTTGTCGCTTATCTGCGATGTTTTACGATTTGTCACATACAAGGTTTTAACATTTGTCACTTACGAGGTTTAGGCATTTGTTGCTTACGAGATTTGGACATTTTTCACACACGAGGTTTAAGCATTTGTCTCTTACGAGGTTTTACTATTTCTCACTCACGCGGTTTTGGCATTTGTCACTTTCAAGTTTTGCATTTGTCAGTTAAGAGATTTTGTCGCTAACAAGGTTTTGACATTTGTCACTTACGAGGTTTTAACATTTTTCACATACGAGGTTTTAGCATTTGTCTCTTACGAGGTTTTACGATTTCTCACTCACGAGGTTTTGGCATTTGTCACTTTCAAGTTTTTGCATTTGTCAGTTAAGAGATTTTGTCGCTAACAAGGTTTTGACATTTGTCACTTACGAGGTTTTAACATTTGTCACTTACGAGGTTTCGGCATTCGTCGCTTACAAGGTTTTACGATTTATCACTTACGAGGTTTTGGCATTTGTCACTTTCAAGGTTTTGCCATTGTCAGTTTGGAAATTTTTCAGTTATGACGTTTTGGCATTTGTCGCTTACGAGGTCTTGTCATTTGTCACTTACGAGGTCTTGTCATTTGTCACTTACGACGTTTTGGCAACAAACGACATTTGTACATTTTTCACTTCCGAGGTTTTGGCATTTGTCGCTTACGAGGTTTTGTTACGATAAATAATGCAAAGGTAGAAAAGATCTTTTTTCAATTTTCAGAACTAAAACAATTTAGTACATTTCTTAGAAAGTTGTTGGCGCATCTTTTTTTTAACTCCTGTCCAGGCATTATGACTAAAACCGGTATATTAAAATTGAAACCTTTTAAGGTTTGGGATTTGCAAACAAACAAACCTACATTAGAATACACGATACACACAATAGCTTCAATAGGTCACGTAAAGTGGCGCCCTCAAAGGAAATTCCACATATCCAGTTGCGCTCTCGTGGTGGACTGCAGTATTAATATCTGGGACGTTAGGAGGCCATACATCCCATTGGCGACGTTCAACGAGCACAGAGATATTGCGAGTAGAGTGGCTTGGAAAGGAGAACCACATTGCTTTTTGAGCAGTTCTAGGGTGAGTTTGTTGGTAATTTTTGATTGGTTATAATTGTGGATTTTATAGGATTGTACTTTATACCAACACAACTTTAATGATGCCAACAGGCCTGCTAGCAAAGCTAACCCCCAAAGTGTTTGTTTTAACAACAAAGGTGAAGTTCTCTTCGCCCAAAAAGTTCCTATAGTTGTCACTAGTACTGTTACCTCGAATCCCATAACCAAAGCCACCAGTATGATGAGGAAAATATCAAATACCCAATCGTTTGATACTTTTCATCAAGCATCAAGTACTTTGCAAGAATTCACTGGTATCAATAAAGGTAGTACGCAACCGCACGATGCCGATAGCGAATTGTTCGTCAATTTGGCGAAGAAATACGTTTTGCAAGGCAGGAGTGTGTCTGAAGTATGCGATCACAATGCGGCTGTGGCACGGGAATATGGAAAATCATACGTAAGTAATTTTACAGGAGTATATTTTATTAGGATGGAGCACGGTCTTATATACAGGTCTTGCAACTTCGCCCAATTTCAATAGGAAAAGTGACCTCTCTAATGAGACACCCACCAGATGGCGCATCGAGTTGTGGGTGAACTATAGATGTTTAAAGGTCGTTTTTACCTTCTTTATCTTTGGGTTTTACAATCGTTAGATAAGCTCTCTGGTGGATAATTTTCTTAGATAGAAGGTTTCTATGAAAGTTATCCGCCAAATAAGCTAACTTAATCTAACGATTGTAAAACCGGCTCTAAGTCCTTAAATAAAAGGTCAAATGAACTACCTACTTATGTTCTGTGTTAAGAAACATAACCTACATTTTTATAAACAAGCTTGTGTATTTTGTTACAGGGAATTTTTACTTATTAATTAGATTAAAATAGATTAAAATAGCTGACAGTTTGGCTAGTTTATAAACTACCCAGCTACTTTATAAACTATCCATGTTTACACATTAGCCGTAACATATATATGATATACATATGTATTTTATACATTAACATTTTTTACTTACATGTTTGGTCTGGGCATGTGTGCGGCCGAGGACTTTGTGCATAGAGTATAGACTTTGTTGTCCTATTTTGTTAACGTAATTTATCCGAAACAAACTCACAAATATTAAATTTTTGAAAATGTAAACAAAACATAGAAAAAGAATTTAAAAAGTTAGGTTATGGTTATGCAGTAGTTCCACATTTAACTAAGTAGTTCATTTAATTGACTTCACCCTTCGATCTTAGCGTCACCTAGCGGCTTGGCACGTTAAGGAAGCCACCTCGAAGCTTAAAGTTGCAAGACCTGTATATAAGACCGTGGGATGGAGGCATCCACTGACATACGACCCATATTTTTTAAAGATGTATGTAATATGGAAGATAATAAAAACGATGTACGGAGAGGAATTCATACAAAATTCAAACTTCACCGACTGCTACGAACCTGACTTCAAAGAAGAAGACGAAGAGTCTCCTGAGGAGGACAATAGAAACGATAAAAACAAACCGCAAACGCCAATATTGGAACTGGAAGAAGAATACGACCAACTTTCGTTGTGTGGCGATACGCCACTGGCCCAGTTCAGTGGCGGAGATGAAAGCGGCGAAACCGAGAACGAAGACCAGGTGGACCACATAGGGATCTACAATTATATCAATTTTAGGTCCTGTTTGCCCAAGGGAGACTTTTCCTTCGGCGAAAATGAGCTCGATATGGAAATCGACGGCATCAGCACAGGTTGGTTTAAATTATTTTTTTTTGCAGTGAAAGCACAATTGAAGACCTTGATGCACTTTCAGGGCTCACACCTCCTAAAACTCCTAAAATTTGGCTTAAATCTTAAAAACTCCTAAAATTGCCATCAATCTCCTAAAACTCCTAAAAATTAAATATAAGCAGGCCAACTTGACTGCGTTTAAAAAAATTAGTTGTGCTAAAGAATTTTTTTTTTAAAGAAATTTATTAAATATATATTTTTAGGTTCTAGTTTATTAAATTATTTTTAAAATGATATATCACAACCTACATTTTTCTTAAAAAACAACAAAATATACCTACCTTAAAAACAAAATCCATGTAGTAGCTCCTAGACTTCTACAAAATTGTCATATTACGTTTTTTTTCGACCAAAATATACCGTGTTATATATCAAACAAAAAGATTTTTAATTTTCTTTTAAATGATAACTAAAATAGTAAATAATCCAAAGAATGTTTTGCTGTATTAAGTAAGCTTTATATTTGTTCTATTATGAGATTTTTTAGCGGTTAACGGTTAACATTTTTTTTCTCAAAATATAAATATAACATCATTTGACTTGGGCCTAGTTTTTAGCCATATTTATCGACGCGTTTTTTTTAATAAAATTAAAAATAATGAAATTTCTACTTGAGATATATAAAAAATTTTACCTCACTTTTTATTTTATTAAAAAAACTTGTAGAGCAATTTGGATAAAAAACAAGTCAATGTAACTAGGGTTTTAAAGTGTCGTAAAAAAACGGAAAAATTGGGGAAATCTGATTTTTTTTCTTTTTTTCCAGGCCTTGAAAAAATTGTCTGTTTTGGGATTTTATAAACATTTAAAAAAAAACTAAAGACACAAAAAACATTAAATATTGAGTTGGGTCTTTTTTGCAAAGTGTGTCACGATTTGTTGTGTTGTTGGGTGTATTTCGAGAGGAAATCCTGGGTTAATTTTTTATCGGTTTTCCAATAAACAGTGTTAATCTGAATGAAGATATAAATTTCATACAGTAAATATAAATTGTATCTATTAGATACAATAAATACACATTTTAGTAATGATTAACGTGAAAAGTGTAAACATTTCAATTCAGTAAAAATCGTCCAAAACAAATAAGTCGTCTAGATTTAAACAGCATTTAGCATTATTAAAAGCATTGATTTAGAATTCTTTAGTCTCCACTGAACGGTAAAATACCATTATATTATATAATATTTTGTTTCCATGAATTCGTAGGTATATTTTGCAGTTTTCGGCGTTTTTTAGATAACTCAAATGGCTGATTTTAAGGTTATGTTTGTGCAAAAATTATTTTTTAGTAATTTCTTAAAAATGTCCAAACCTAAATATAAATTATATTAGGTAAAGTTATCATTAGTTGATTCTGCACCAACAAATGTACTTACCGAATTGCATCCTTTGGCAAAACATGAAAATGCAACGATTTACTTCTTGAATTTTATTTACAATAAAAAACACAATAATTCACCATGATTCCTTAGATAAAATACACACACTAGTGTGCTAACGTAACTATATAAGCATTTAAGCGTTGGGTTTCTTAATCAAAAGTGTCAAATAGAACAAAAGTTGTGTATTTTTTGCGACCCGGTGGAATATTCTTAGTAGGTTAAAATAAAAGGAATAATTATCATAATATCGATATTAATGTACGGATAGTATTGGATAATTTGCAAACTTTTTGAAAAATTTACTTGCAATTTTTCGTATTAATTACCCTTTAAAAATGAAAAAATGCAATTTTTTCAATTTTTTTCGGAAAAAAATATTCTTTTTTTTCGCCGGCTCAATTTTTCCGGAAATGTTAAAACCCTGAATGTAACCTATTTTAACAAAAGAAGTGATATTTATTATATTTTTGTTAAAAAGAATTATTTATTTTTTAAGTACAGGGTAGAGTTGTTTTTATTTAATTAAATAAATTCATTTGCATACTTTATTTCTCCTAAAATTCTACACATAACCTCCTAAATTCCTAAATAAAATTTGTAATTCATCCGTGGGAGCCCTGCACTTTTAACTTTATAACACAACGTTCGCTTTGTCTTTTCTTTAAACTAAAAATATCCGTAGGCTCTTTTTCAGAATATCACAACGGTTTTAAAAGCTACAATCAAATAACCCCTCAGGAGCTAAAAGACGCAGACTATTGCGCATTTCCGAGCGAGGCTTTCCCGATACGCCACGAAATCCGGGACCGGTCGCCTCCGCCGGAGCAATTCCCGAACCGAATATCGCCGGAACTGCCGGAAGAACCCATAGCGACCATTATAGAGGAACCGCTGTCGATGCACACGCTGTGCGTCAAGAAACCGAAGAAGAAATCCGTATGGGATCCTTCCAGTTTGGTGATAGACGCGTTGAAGTTCCACGCCGACATGGGCGACGTGCAATCAGCGGCGTGCATACTCATTGTGATAGGGGAGAACAGGAAAAAACTCGAAGGTTTGAAGAAGCACGTGCAGGAAGTTTGGCTGTTGGGCTACATAGAGCAACTCAACCGGTACAAGCTGTGGAACGAAGCGGCGCGAGTGATTAAGTTGGCGTGGTTGCCGTCTGTGTACTCCCTTAATCAGCAAAGCACGAGGATAAACACGAACTGCACCAAGTGCTCGAAACCCCTGCAAAGAACTGGGTGGCTGTGCGACAGGTGTCACTCCTCTGAACCGGCTCTATGTTGCATTTGTCACCAAGTTTCCAAAGGGTTGTACTCTTGGTGCCAAGGCTGTTCGCATGGGGGCCACGTTGCGCATTTGAAACAGTGGTTTGCCACCAACAAGAAATGTCCCACTGGTTGTGGACACTCCTGCGAGTTTGGCTGATATTTTTTATATCGCTTTGACCGAACATCGTATACTGTATATATATCACGAAAGATTTAATTTATTAAAAAGTTATATTATGCCCAGGCTTTTACTTGCTTCTCCTTTCAGATATTTTCAATAAATGACCTTTTACCCCACCACCGTGCTTTTGTTTCAAATGTACTCCATCGACAGACAGTTTCGGTCTTTCGGACCTCACAGTGCCGGGAGGTGAGCCCAAGGTAACACTGTGCAACACCAAAAATCAAACCGCACCAGACTATTTTTTTTTCTGAAAATATACCTATCCAATAGCAAAACCCTCGCTGGGTTTGTAAAAGTTATGACCGTTAGTATTTTCGAGCTTCATATACCCCAATTTAGAGTTATAAATCATTTTTTCGCATATATTCGATTTATATGGTTAAGATTTTTTGTAGAAATGTAGCTACTGAACAAATAAACCCATTTTGTGATCAACCTATATCAAAACCCAATTTTTGGGACCAAATATTCGAAAAATTGCATTTTTTTCTTCAATTTTTTATAATATTCAAAATTTCTGGCTACTTCTTCTGACAAAAAAGTTGTAAAATGCAATAGAAGTAATTTATAAAATACGCACACTAAACTGATTTTTAAGTTTGCTTATTTGCTGGACAACAATGTTTGAACAAGATTTTCCAAAATTTTCATCTTTTCACACTCAACACCAAAATTTTTGCCGAAATCTTTGTAAAATCTGTAGGAAAAAATTGAATAGATAGTATAGAATTGTAGAAAAGTACAGAGATTGATTTTTTTGTATTAGTTTTATTATCAACAAACTTTTTCATATCAAAACATTGAGTCATCTGATTCATTCCTAGAGATATGACGATACATCGTCAAGATTTTTTGTAGAAATGTAGTTACTTAACAAATAAACCCATTTTGTGAACAACCTACATATAGGTACCCCAAAACCCAATTTTTGGAAACAAATATTCGAAAAATTACATTTTTTTCGATTTTTCGATAATATTCTTCTTCTGGCAAAAATGTTGTAAAATCATATGATTTTATTTTACAACATTTTTGCCAGAAGAAGTATACTTTTATTATAATTTATAAAATACGCACACTAAACTAAACTTAAGTTTGTTTATTTGCAGGAAAACAATGTTTGAACAAGATTTTTAAAAATACTCATCTTTTATATAAATCGAATATATGCGAAAAAAGTCTAAATTGGGGCATATAAAGCTTGAAAATACAAAAGGCCATAAAAAATTTAGCTAACTATTACAAACCCAGCAAGGGTTTTGCTATTGGATATATACAATACTCAGGTATATTTCCAGAAAAAAATAGTCTGGTGAGGTTTTATTTCGATGACCCGAAAATTGTCACAGTGCAATTAATCAGCTCCATCTACCGTCTAACGAACGTAGTGTTTGAAGAACTCTGAAATTGTCAAAATAAAAAAAGGGTTCTCTAATACTTGGAACCTGGACTCAAATATATTAAGAATAGAGTAATTGCATCAAAAATGAAAATCCCTAAAAACCTTTTTAATGTAATCTAGAGGTAAAAACACATTGCGAAAATATTTTTTTATATTCCAAAAGTTCAACCCTGCCCCAAAATATCACATTGAAAAAAGGTACTTTTCAAACGTTCCCGAACTCCCGCCATATTGCATGACGTCAAAAACCTACACCAGTGTCAGAAATCAAGATGTCAACAAATAATAAACACCGATAAAGTTTAACATGTTTAACATGAAAAACGCAAAAACAAAAATTGGTTGTAAATATTGTTTTGTGCCTTGTTGTACAAATACAACCTGGAAAACTCCTGGAAAAGTTGTCCCTTCAATTATCAAAAGCAAAGTTTATGACCCTACACTGAGCGCCGTTACGGCTCAGCCGTATTTTCTTGAGTTTATTATTATTTAACATACCTATTCCAACCATATACCTAGTAAACGACATTATATTTTACTTTCATTAAAATGATCCTCGCAGCAATAAAATGTTGACTGCGGTGACAATGTTTTGATATCGCGCCGAGCTATTTTAATCCACTTTATCCTTATTTTCCCTTTTGGCACGGTGATAAACCTTTTCCCAGGAGTTTTCCAGGTTGTATTTGTACAACAAGGCACAAAACAATATTTACAACCAATTTTTGTTTTCGCGTTTTCCATGTTTAACATAAACTTTATCGGTGTTTATTATTTAAATACAATTCGCCACCTGAGAATTAGATTGTTCTATCTCCCAAAATTTAAAGAGGAACAAATAGCAGTTTAAAGTTTAATTTATATACAAATGAAATTTTAAAAAGCTGTTTTTCCGTGTCAGATTTTTGAAAGATAGAATCTCCCAAAACTTAAAAACGGAAAAACAGCTTTTTAAAATTTCATTTGTATATAAATTAAACTTTAAACTGCTATTTGTTCCTCTTTCAATTTTGGGAGATAGAACAATCTAATTCTCAGGTGGCGAATTGTTGACATCTTGATTTCTGACACTGGTGTAGGTTTATGAGGTCATGCAATATGGCGGGAGTTCGGGAACGTTTGAAAAGTACCTTTTTTTCAATTTGATATTTTGGGGCCGGGTTGAACTTTTGGAATATAAAAAAATATTTTCGCAATGTGTTTTTACCTCTAGATTACATTAAAAAGGTTTTTAGGGATTTTCATTTTTGATGCAATTACTCTATTCGTGACTTCACAAAATATATAAAACAATTATTGGTTTTTGTAGTAGGTACTTAATAATACTCAAATATTCCTATAAAATATATAATAAATATATATGTACATGTAACTCAAGGTACCTGTCTTCCGTTGTCTTACAGAATCAGCAAAGCGCTAATACAGTAGAGGAGTGCAATACAAGGGAAGAATGTATGAAATCAGTTACACTACCTGTGCAGTTGAAATCAATGTACCAGTCTCCCGAACGAACCAAAGGTAGGGTTAAGTGGACAGTAGCAACAAAAGATAAGTTCAATAGCTTCAATCCGCAAGATTTAACATGCATTCCCTACTAAAAAAGTTATCTTGCAATTTCTCGAAGAGGTTTTAACGCTTAAAAGCGTGTTCAACGCACCAAAACAAAACAGCCAAACAAGAAAAAGAGAATTCCCACAGGACAGAAAACGCAATATAAATCTGTACAAAACATAAACAAGATTTATTATCTATTACCAAAACTAAACGAACAGCCGTGATACGCAATAGACGTTAACATAAACAAAAAGTCAAATGCAGTCACCTAGACAACAACAATAAACATGCCAACACACATCTAAGTCTTTACTGATATAAAGCTAAGGCTTACGCACAGTGGGACAAATAATTTGTAACTACTTACTTTACTTAACACACAATGTTCGCATATTTCGTTATAAACAAAAAACTATCGATAACTATCGGTAGCGATGGCCAACCTTCCAGCACAGTAATTTTCAGTAGACACGGGCGCAAACCTAGTATTGTAACAATTTTCTTTTTCGTAAAAGAAACAAAAGTATATTTGGTCACTCTTCGCTAGGTATAAATCATAAGAAAAGTTTAAAAAAAATACTATATTGTGAATAAAACTTTTATTTTATTTGCCTTGGCAGTACAAATACGACGATAAAAAAAAGTTAGCCAAAATAGTACTTCTTGTTTATAAAAACTTTGTTGTATACCTTTCACAATAATGTCCCTATTGTAACAATTACTGCATTATAAAAAACGAAACTTAGTTTAAGCAACAATAAGAAATAAAAATAACAATCAAGTGCCGAATTTTGTGATTAGTGATGTTTCACCAAGTCTGTGAGTATTTGTTTTGATTTATAACTAAATAATTTTTTTTTGGTCTATTTTAAATGATCGAAATTAAAACAAAATTATTAACAATAAATACTTAAAACTATGTTTTACATTGGCTTATTTATTCAATGTAACACATCCAATATTCGTCCTGAGGGAAAGATTTTATACATGTAGGTCAAAAGTCAATGAAATATCTGCAAATGATATATTTAAAAGTGTGGTTTCAGTATTAAAGCTTATTGGTTATGCCAGAAGTGTATTGGAGTGTCAAGTTGAAATACTTACTAATATTCTTATAATAAAATAAAAAACTATAAAATTATACATATATATCTAAATCATTATACAATTATTTAAGAAAGAAAATCAGACATCAAGAAACACAAGGTGGTTCTGTAAAGAATAACTGGCAAAATAGATAAACAAATTTGATTTTTTTTCATAAAAAAGATTCAAAAACAACCCAATAAATGCAAAACATTTTTATTTGTATTGTAATGCAAATATAGGTTTACCAAAAAATTTGCAACATAGATTTTAAGCCAGAAATGTAAAGCTTACTTAAAAAACATTTATTAAAACATTAATTTTTAAAGAATTACACATTTAAGCTTTTTCTTCTTGTTCTTATCCTTCCCTCTGCCGTTGTTTGTTTTGTTTTCCTCCATTTTTCTTGCCCTTATTTCCCGCATTAAATCGTAAAACACCTGAGCAAAAACAAATTATTTTCAAATTGTAAAGAAATACCTAATTAGCATATTTATTATCTAAAGTAAACAATAAATTTTAATTAAAACCGCACATTTGGTAGCCAGTGTTGCCAACATGGTCGATTTAAAAATCCCAAGAATTTCCTAGTTTAAAGTCTCGTGTTGTCTGGTAGCTCTATGAAAAAGTATTTGAAATATAAGTGACTTCTTGACCCAGGAGAGGCAAAATCGGACTCCCAGTGTAGAAACAGACTGGTATTAATGAAGAATTTGTTAAAATATATGGATTGGATGATTGAAGATTAAAGATAATTAGAAAATTCTGTATATGAAGCCATGTGTACATAGTTAAACAAAAAGATGACATGGTTCTATAAAAATTAATAAATATTTAAGAATACCCATATAAATGATTCAAGGGATAGGTTAATCTCAGATTCTTTTAAATAAGACCCTTGATCATAATAAAGAAAATTTTAAAATAGAGCTGGCTAAATCCTGGAAGGGAAAGGAAAAGGCCAAAACAGTCAGAAGAATTGTATTTAAAGGATAGTGATAGAAATTGGACATAAATTTACATACAAATCTACTAAATGTGGAAACAAATAAAGTGATAGTGGTGAAAATGAATGAATCCAGGGATGGTTAAATTCCCTTATTTGAGACCATTGATCATACAATTTTTTTTTAAACACAATGAGCTGGCCAAAAGGCTTTCAAGTAAGCTAAAGGCCATTACCCTTAAACATAGTGTTAAGATTGATCAGGAGCAAGAACAATAATTGTACAAAATTAATATACTATATTAATATTATAAAAATAAACGACGAAACGAATAAAACAAAATCTTAAAATTTTGTTAAACATTTCTAAAACTAGGGGAAAAAAGCTGGCATCACTGACTTCAGCAATATTTAAAAATATGCTTGTCATTATCAACAAACAAATTAGACAAGGCTGACCTTTATACAATACACGGTGCTGTTCTGAGAGGTGATTTTTGGACTTTCTGTGAAACCTAATTTTTTTTTATATTCTTGTTAATTAGGTCATAAATAAAATTTTAAGAGCAAAATAAAAAAAATTTGACGGTTAATTTTGTTTTAATTGGATGTTTATTAAACAATAATTCTAAGGGTGCCACATGCAGCACCGTGAATATTAAGTAATAAATAACAAAGGATTATATGTATTGTTTTTATTTGATATTTTATTTGACAACTGTCAAGCAGTTTTAACCTCACTTATCTAACATCAGAATGGTTTAACCTCACTTTTTCAAAAGCTGATATCTGTCAAATGGTTTTAATCTCGCTTATTTCCAAGTAAATTATTACCTAGTGAATTAAATGTAGGAGTTGATAAAATAATTTCTTAAATTTTGTAAAATAGGCAAAATATAAATAAAATATTTTAAATTTTGGCATTCTTAATTTTCCAAGTAAAAACTATATAACGTTTACATACCTTATCAACGTGTTCTCTTGTCTTAGCAGATGTTTCAACATAAGGAACCCCCCATTTGTTAGCCCGATCACTGGCTTCTTGGAATGTAACTTTTCTTTTATCTTGAAGATCACTTTTATTCCCTACTAATAAGAACGGTATATTTTCGTCGTTTTTAACCCTCAATATTTGCTCTCTAAAAAATAAAAACATACCACAAATGTTTATTACAAATAAGATAGACCACCAACCTGAATTCCTGTGTGGCTTGAAAACTCTCATCTTCTGTTATGGAGAATATACACAGAAACCCTTCGCCACTTCTGAAGTAATTATCCCTGATAGCGGCATAGTCCTCCTGCCCGGCAGTATCTAAAATATCAATTTGAACGTCCTCTCCATCAAGCAGCACTTTCTTCCTGTACGAGTCAGCCTTTGTGGGTTCATAGTTCTCGACAAACTCATCATACATGAATTGCAATGTCAGGGCTGATTTTCCCACACCACCACTTCCAACCATGATAACTTTATGTAAAGCTGTTTGCACCGCTGGTTTTTTAGCCATGGTTTTGGTTTATTCTACAAATTTCAATAGGCGTGTCCAATTTGAGGTTTTTAAGTCAACGACCTAAATTTTTTTTGAAGTTTTGAACACAAAACTTACCTATTTGTCCTGTTACGATATAATGTAAAAATTACTTGTTGGATGTTTACTTTGTGCTAAAAAATCTAGTCACCATCTATCTCTGCTAGTCACTAAAAACAATTGAATCACTGTTTCCAGCTACGCCTTGTTCTGTAACCTACTTCACGTTGTTTAGGTTATTTTATGAGTCACTTCTTGTATTGTTTTGCGCGATTTTTATCACCTCCACCCGATTTTCTCTCACGATAACGTTTGATGCGGAAATACATAATTTACCTACTTACACGATAAGAGTCGTTTAGGAATTGCTTTTTACATTCATGCCTAGGTATCTTAAAATTTTCTTCAACCACTACATTATAAAAAAAAATTAAGAAGACACATAAAAAATAACAATACAACATAAAAAACAACTTTAAACTAAAAATTAACGTGGTAAATTAGTAATGCAATTTATCATGTTCAAAATTAATAATTTTGGAAATTATCGATTTTAAATTCAAGGTTGGCAATGCCACGAAGTACGCGTATCATTAAATCGGCGTTGCCGCTTCCACTGTTCCCTCGCAGTTTCGGTGATTTGTTTTGCCGCACGCATCAAATCGCTTGCGGGTTGGGAATCCCAGATCAAGCAAACTAGGCAACACTGTGCGTAAACTGTCAGTTTCTTCTTCAATGCATACGATATTTGTTTTTGGTTATTGTTAAATTGATTTTTATAGTATTTAATTTAAGAAATTACATAATGTTTTGCTATTTTTACAACTATAGTGGTCTCTGATGTAAATAGGTTGCATAAAAAGTAAGTGTCTACTTTTAATTAAGTAATTTAAGTGGTAATCCCATGCCCTTTCCTTTATGTAATTTATAACAATTATTAACAATTTAAAACCCTAATTTTAAATTGTTAACATTATGAAAAAGAAAAATTAATAGTTAAAACATTAAAAAAAGGGCTTATTTTAATACCTGTTTGAATTCAAGTAATAGATAATTATCAAGTAAGTACCTACTTATATTAAGTAATTTAAGTTACCTAGCTCCATTTGATAAATATTTAATAAATAACAATAGGCCCACAGAACATAAGGCCGTGGCACTATATTCAGTGGTGCCAGTGTAGTAAAAATAAAACGGTTTATCATAAAAACTAAAAACAACCAAATAGTATAATATTATAATAAGGATGAGGTTTGCATCTAGAGTCGTCATCCTAGAGACGTAAATCATCCGAGTAAAGCGCATTATTTTGAGTGTAATACAATTTACCGATTTTAAGATCATTATAGTCGCCCCTCGTATATATAAACAAATCTGACATCCGTTAACCTTACTTTTTCCCAATTTAAAACCCGATTGGTTCAAATAACAGTAAAAATTGAAATCGACCAATCACTGATGCCTAACAACGTGAATAATGAGTTCAATATTCCCGTTATTAGGCCGGGCGGTTATATTGGTTACAATTATTTACGAAAAACCCAAATAATGTCAATAATATGCAATAGGAGTAAAAAAAATATATTATTATACCGTATAAATTATACGAGAGATAATGCGCATTATCTCGAGTGTATTGTGGATTCACATTACTATAGTAGATATATCTACTTCTCCCAATTTAATTGGTTAAAATCACAGTGAATATTGATATGAATTGATATAGGAGTATGAATCACTTATTTTTGTTAGATTTGTTAGTTACAATCATGTTTTTTTAACCCGTAAATTTTTACTGGAAATAAACTATATGTATATACAGGATGATTCACCAAACTTATTTATTAGAAGTTTACAGAGAACGGAAAAAGTTAAATTTGTATAGCAATTATAAGGCAATGTAATCTATTTTATTAAATTATTTTTAATGCGTTATCACTTCCGGTTAAACCGGAAGTGATACCAACTTTGATTTTTTAAATGGAACCATTAAAATATTATTGCATTTTTAAATCTTAAGTAAAATTATAGAAATATTAAAATTTAATTATTTTTTATTTTAAACAGTTTTTAAGGTTTTTGATTTTTTTCAAAAATTACGATTAGTTGTAATGTTAATTTATGGTGTACCTATTAACTATAGTTATAAGGAGCACTTCATCAAAAGTCATTAATAGTATTAGAAAATTTTATACAGGGTGTCTGGTATTTACGTTGACTTTTTTGTCTCTTTGACATTACTTCATAAAAATCTCAGGTTTTTTGGTCTTATTCTTTTTTCTAAAAGAATGTCCAAATCGGAATCGTCAAGTTTCTGCTGACATTGGATATTCAGATTAATCAGAAGAATACATTTTTATAATACTTTTTACAATATTTTTACAATAGAAAATAACCTCAAAACAAACACACAAGTTCACAACTAAAGTTGTAAATCAAGGCTATTAATTTGTATTATGCGCATATGTGCCAACAATCTGCTGGAAGATAATCCTCAAACTGTTCGGACTGTCGACAAACTGTCAGGAAACGATGTGGAAACAACCGACTAGTGGTTTGAAATCAGTTGCAAACCAATGTGCGAACACAAAAAACCTTATGCGCACACTCCAAACGTCACAAACAAGTTTCAAACCAATGTGAAAACAAACCTAAGAAAGTTGTTGATATCAAATTTAAAGTGACAAAAAAGTAAACGTAAATACCAGACACCCTGTATAAAATTTTCTAATCCCATTAATGGCTTTCAATAAAGTGCTTCTTATAAGTGCTTCTTATAAGAAGAATATATTTAACAGGAATACCAAAAATTAATTAGTGGTAGGTAATACAGACATATTATCTGTCAAAATTTAAAAAAAAATTAAATATCTCAAAAACTGTTAAAAATACAAAATATAATAAAATTTTAGTTTTTCTAGAATTTTACGTAGAATTTAAAAATGCAATAATTTTTACAAGTATGGTTCCATTTGAAAGACCAAAGTTGATATGACTTCTGGTTTAACTGGAACGCATGAAAAATAATTTTTAAAAATAGTTTACATTGCTTTACATTGCCTTATAATTGCTATGCAAATTTCAAATCGATATCTATTTTCCCTTCTCCGTAAACTTTTAATTTAGTTAGATGAATCACCCTGTATATATTAAATAAATATAAATATAAAGTTAATTTTTTTTATCTGGGCTGCGGCAACGTTGCAAATTTAGGGGTTTGGTTGGTAAATACGGAACCAAAATTGGTTGCATTGATTAAAACTAAACTAGTTATAAATGTAATTATAATGTAATTGTGGTTATGTTTAAATTATCGAAGTGGCTATTTATACGTCCGACGTATACAAAATTTGGTATACGTCTTGAGCTTTCATTGTTGAGTTTGGGTTGGTTTCGCTCACTGTCAATCAACTTAAATGGGCAAAAGTGAGCGAAACCAACCCAAACCAACCCAAACTCAACAACCCAACCCAACCGACCCCGCCCCATTGGGCCCCCCGCCCCATAGAGGAATAGAGGCCTATTTTGTAGGAAGAAGTTTTTGCCTCATATTTAGCCATTTTTATACTTATTTATCAAATACTTAATTTTGCTTACATAATTTTTGTAAATTACTTCATTTTTATATATTTTTAACGTTATTATTATAAAATTCAGCAGTTTGAATATCTGACAATTTTCATTTTGAAGTTTATAGGTTAGATTAACTTTTTCAAACTAGCCAATGAAAGCACAAGACGTATACCAAATTTTGTATACGTCGGACGTATAAATAGCCAGTTTGTTAAATTATTGTAGGTTACATTGAACGGTTGTCACGTTGAGTCAAGTTGAGTTGTCAAAATTCGTAGTTAAAAATGCAATTAATTTGGCTTTGGTGGTGCTTAGATGAGTAAAATCACATAAAAAAAGTAGTTAAATATAGGTGACTAAGGCCCAGGAGAGACAAAGTATTACTTTGAAAAGATTTTTATATAAGAAATTAAAATTTTATGTGAACACACGTGAATGTTGTCCAATCATTGGACCCCAATGGTGAATGGGTATTTTGTTAAAGCCACTGGACGTTAATACTTGTAGTAGCTTGATAAAAATTATAATGTATATACCCAGCTAGCACAAGTCTGTCCTAAGGACGTCCTAAGGAAAGCCTTACAGGATATTGGGATATCCCAAGGATATCCTAGGACGTCCTCAGACCTCCTCAGGACATCCCAACCATGGCCGAGTGGTGCAAAAAAGGCCAGCCTACAGACGTCCCGCAAATGGCCTTTAGGATATCCTAGGGATATCCCTAGGTCCATATAGGTCCAGGAATAGGACATCCTAAGGATGTCCCCTGAAAGTCCCATGGGTATATGTAGGTCCAGGAATGGGATGTCCTGAGGACATCCTCTGAATGGCCTTGTTATTTGTTGGGGATACATTTTAAACAATCAAATGCCATTTTATTACTTTATAAAATATATTATTTTAATTCTGTATACATATATATAATTTTACACAGCCAATTATATAAAATTAAAAATAAACACCTATTATAAAAGTAAAATAAATAATATTTCTAAATAAATATAATAGTTATATTATTTATATATACACAGTGTCCAAAGTTATCTGCTCACCATTTTAACTCCATTATTATTGCAGCTACAAAGTCGGTTAAATTAGCGAATTAGTGGCATTTTTTTTTCTGATTAAAATGGTTAAGACAGAATAACAATTGAACATCAGGTTACAAAAAATTATTATAGAAACTACACTAAACTTAAAAATAAACAATTAATAAGCACTGGAACTTTCTGATTGTTGTTGAAATATCCAACACTATAATAATATTATATTATAACAAACACACTTGGAGAACACGAGATTCACGGCCTTAAACCAGGTTCACGACACAGAAAAAGAATTCACGGCGCAGACAAAGAATTCCTTTCACAGTGTTATCTATGATTCTTTCTAACAAAAAGGCGTCAAACAACTAAAGGACGCTATACGTCATCTTAGCTTTCTCTCCATCCAGTGTTACCACCATAGACAATAGTTACCACCATAACGTATGGTTAAGGTTAACTGACGCTTACTACCTTATTTATTATTTATAAAACTCTAAATGTATCAATACCTTACAAACAAGGTGTTTGAACAATTATTAATTACCAGTCGTCATTTCTGCGCATGCGTATTAAGTTGGCTGCTATCCAGTTGTATACAAAATATATTTTGTGGTCATATAACAAATACACAAAATATAATATTGTTTTTAAACTCCCGCCTTTAAAACGCCGATTATCGTACATGTTTCCATGATATTTTAAATAAACATTGACAAGTTGTGGCTTTATGACGTTTTAGTCACGGGCTGAAGTTGGCAGCAATGGCATTCGGACATTTTAGTCATGGGTTGAAGTTAATTGCAGTTGTCAACTGCGAAACAATGACCATTAAAATAAAGGGTCTAAAAAGTGAGGTTAGAATAGACTGGTCGATGTCAGATTTTATAAATAATTATTTATATATAATTGTTGAAAGCTATTTAATTTTTGTGATTGTCGTAGAAAAAATATAGTATGCAAGTCGTTTATAAGCTTAAAAAAATCTGTATAATATAATATTATAATTATATTGATTGACATTTTTGAGATGTGCCGATGCAAAATAAGTTATGTAAAAAAATGTAGGTATTATTAATTATATAGATAAAATATTCTTATAGAAAAATGTGCATACCAAATGTTTACCAAAACCTAACGGGACATTCTGAGGATGTCTCTGGGATTAGTCCTATGATCAGCCCATTTTAGGCTTTAATTAGGATATTATTAGGTCCTAACGCCATCCTTAAATGACGTTCCTAGGATATCCCAAAATGGGACCTAAAAAAGATCTAATGTCCGATAAGGTCAACCTATGGACGTCCTCAGGAAGTCCTTATAGGATCATCCCATTCTGGGACATTTAGGCTGGTCCAAGGACGTCCTGAGGATGTTTGTGCTTGCTGGGTATTGTCCAGGACTATTAATTATCAGTAACTTGTAAATAGAAAGAAGAAAAAGTTTCGTGATTATTGCTTAAGACAATTGTCTTATTTTTTAAAATTTCAAAAATTTTTGATCTGCTTAGCTGAAAATAATTTGTGATTTAATATTTGTAAAACCAAAAAACGTTACTTTTTTATTCCAAAAATGTCCATAAGGCGATATACTTCATCGAAATGAAGTTTTGCCCTTAAAAGTTTTTTTACTACTGGAATCTGATATTATTTTTGGTATAGTTATCTTTTTATAACGATATAATATAATATTATATAATAATAATTATTAACAAGTAAATTATCAATAATAAATATTACTGCCAATTTGACAGATTATAATAATTATTAAGGTCTTCAGCAGTACCATTTTTTAAATACTAAAAATACTGAATCAAACTGGCACACGCTACCAACTTAATAAAAAACACGAGTCCAAATAAAAAAAAATGAACTGTATATATTTAATAATTTTTTTATTATTTTTGTTTGGAAATAATTTGGGTTTGTTCCAGATTCCATTTCTCATAAGTAGTTTTCTTTCATATGAGAGGAACGATGACGAGACCGCCAAACAACGAAAACCTTCCGACAGTAAAACTGGTGGTGGTCGGTGACGGTGGCGTCGGCAAAAGCGCCATCACCATACAATTTTTTCAAAAGCTATTCGTTACCGACTACGATCCCACGATAGAGGACAGCTACCTCCAGCATGTCGAAGTCGATGGGCAATGGTGCATGCTTGATGGTAAGAACTCTATTACAGTCTCTAAACGGTTTTTTTGGTTGAACAAGCCAATTTAATAAAAGGAAGCGATTTCAGTAGTTTGTCATTTTTTGAATCTCCTAAAATTTAGGCCTGTCAGAGCAAAGTCAACAATCTCCCGTCATACTAAAACTGAGTAAATTGAGATATTTGATTTTGGTATTTTATATTTTAGATTTAAGGCAGAAAGACTTCGGTCGATAGCCTTTTGGTTTTTCCAATAAATATATTTACTACTATTCTAGATTTGTAATTTTTTTATATTATATTGAAATATTGTTGTTGTTAGTCTAGTAGCCAACTACAAGGTCTCCAGGATGCATAGTATAGGTGAAATCTATAATTATAAATTTGAGATTGCTGACTTTGATATAAATTGCTGGAGATTGCTCATTTTGTTGTAAACGTTTAAGGAGATTTAGAAAAATAAACAAAAAAATAATAATAATTACAATAATATTATTACAATTATTGTATTTTCTCCCTTTAATGGTTATAAAATTTAACTATACAATCAATGTGGGAAAATTCTGAACTGGACCACATAAATCTGGAGTTTCTTCTAAATCTGGGACCAGGTTGCCTTGAGCAAAAAAATTTGTATAGTACAACAACTCATCAGATCCTTTCCACTTTGCCCCATAATGTTTTACTTGCAATGTTTTGACATTATCAGCCTTTTCTTGCTTTACCTTTTCGTCTTATTATGGTATAATAGCACAAAGTAAACAAGATAACTTTTTTTATAATTCTTAAAACAATAAAACTTAGATTTACCTATTTTAAATATATTTTTTAATAGAACTTAACAGTATGTACCAGTAAAAAACCCAAAATTAAATCTCTAAAATACGTTATAACATCAAATGTTGGGTTATCAGGTGACACAAATTACTAATTTCCAATGGTGGAATTGGAGATTGTATACTTTGCTGCAAATTTATCAGTGGAGATTGTCGACTTTGCACTAAATGTCATATTTAAAATAGGATTTTAGGCAGGATTTAGCTCCTTTTGCAGCACATAAACTTTATCATCTTGTAGATAATTAGTTGAAGTATAGTCTCCGCCAAAAATCTAATTTTTGACCAAAAGTGGAGATTGTGGGTTTTGCTATGACAGCCGCAATTAATATTGTTAATCGTTTCAGTTCTTGACACTGCCGGTCAGGAAGAATTCAGCGCCATGCGCGAACAATATATGAGGAAAGGCGATGGTTTCCTGCTTGTTTATTCGGTAACTGATAAAAATAGCTTTGAAAACATTATACATTTTCACACGCAAATTTTAAGGGTCAAGGATAGGTATATAAAACAAAAACGTCATAGTGGAATTTCACAAAAATTTTATATAATTTTAGGGACACCTACCCTATGTTGTTGGTAGCTAACAAAGTCGATTTGGTGCACTTAAGAAAGGTAACAGAGGAACAAGGCAGAGATTTGGCTCATAAACTGGGCATGCCATACATTGAGACTAGTGCCAAAGATCCTCCATTAAACATTGATGCCACGTTTCACGAGGTAAGTTAACCATTAAGTAGCAACATCGCATAAGATAGGTGGGACTATGTTTTGATTTCAGGTTGTGCGTATAATTAGAAACCAGCCAAACCCAGGTAACGAACGAAGGCGAAAGAAGAAGTTTAAAAAATTGGGTAAATGCTCAATCCTCTGATTTCAAAACTTTATATTTTTAACGCTTAAATATTTTATTATTGGCCTAATAATGATAATGGCTTTATGATGTTATATTATTCAGTGTTTAATGTTATATGTATGGTGCCACAATTTTCGTTCTACACCTTTATGTATTATTATTATTATTTGTGCGGATTTTATTGATACCTACATTTTGCTCAAATGCGAGTTTTATATTTGCCGCACAATTTATTAATACGAGTATTTTTACCAAAATAAAATGACGCCAAAGTATGTATTATTTTATGGACCAAATTTGCTCATATAGAATTAAAGTATTTAAAATACTTTTTATTTTTGCCAAATATCGGTCTTACAAACTACAAGTTTTGTTTTTAGCGTAACCAAGGCAGAATATAATGTTACTATAGTGTGATGTGGCTTGTAATACCGTTAAAGTATAGTCAATCCGTCGCAAAAAAATTTTTTTGACAAATTCCACACGATATATATTTATAAAACTTCTTGGGTACGCAGTCCCAAACGGTTCATGCGAAATAACCTTGTTCATTTTTTCCGAAAAATTAGATTGACTAATTGACACCCTTGTAAATGTTGTTAACATTATTGTGATATGATTTTAAACTATAATGCATCGCGACAAATAATTTTAAGTTTTGTTGACGTTAAAGTGCTTGGGTTTATTTGCGATATTGTCAATATTTAGTTTTCCTGGATTGAGAAAAATTCTATTTTGCATTTAGAAAGGTTAAAGTTGATTCTGGCTAACAGATTTAAATTAAATGAATGTGGTAGAAACATAGATTTAGTAGATTCGTTGATATTGACCTTACCTACAATATTTGAACTGTAAACTGTGATTGAAACGATGAAATTATTATTTTACGCACATTTGCCAAAAAATAATGTTGAAAGAAAGTTATTTTTGTTGCTGTTATAAAGGAAAGTCTTGTATGTTCAAGTCGAAATGGTTCTAAGAAATGCAAAATTTTGTATTCGCTATACTTTATAGTTATACACTCGTTGAATTTTATTCTTTTATATATATTTTTAATAATGTGTAGTCAGTTTTTGTCTATGTAATTTATTGAATAAAAAAACTAAATAAAATAAACCACAGGTATTTTTCTTTTTTTAACTGTGTTCACCCCACAGATTTTTGTAGTAATTGGATTAATTAATTGATGTGTTAATTAAGGTTCAATCTAATTCTAATATTTTATTCAACGTATGTTGCCGTAAATATTTAAGTTCTATGGCCAATATTTAATAATGGACAATATGAGAGAGGGTTGCAATGCGTGCTATAAATTTTAATTAGTCCATTTAAATTCCTCTAAAAGAGGGTAAATATTTCAGTGTTGCCAGACTGAAAATCCTCATCAATATTATATTCTAAATGCGAAAGTTTGTTTATTAGTTTGTTATTCTTTCACGATGCAACGGATCGACGTGATCTTTTGCTACTTTTAATCCTAAAAAAGTGCACAATTTCAATCAGTATTACATCCACGTGTAATCTGGGTTGCCTACATTCAGACAAAACTTTGAATGGAAACGGAATACCAAGCAACCCGATTAGGCTTGAAATTTATATTTTAATTTAACCAAATTTGTTATCAACCCACTTAAATTATTTAAATGGGTAAAAATTATTCATTATTTTATTTTTTCATTTAGTGTAGTGGCCTTTATATTTAAGGTTCACTTGTATTTCTGGGTAAGCCTTGTATACTAATTTAAATTCAACAAAAAAAAACCATTATCAATTAGCCAGTAATTCTCCAATTTAGCCTTCCCCTAACAATAAGCACTTAAAACTCAGGTGGTTATCTACTTCAGAAGCAAGCACTTCAGCATTTAACACAGGTTAGGTACCCCTGAGAGTGCGCGATGACGTCATCGCGTTAATTTGCGACATCCCGCCAATTTAAGGAGGGAAATCTGTGAAAATTCAGTGTATTAGGCAAATTTAATTTTCGACAGACGCAAACGTCCCTTGTTAGGTAGCTATAGTAACGCGCGTCCCGGTGTTTGATAACGTTGTGACTGCTGTTGCCAAATGTATGACGTAGGGAGATTGATGTGCTGCTGCAACTTGATTGAGCGTGGGGTCAATTATTGACCGTCAATATGCCTGAAAACGTATCTGAGTATTTTCCAAAATTTGGCAAAAATAGGAAATATATTAAAAAAATTATAATTATTATTAATTAGATATATTACATATTATTTCTATAGAATATTAATGAAATATTGAATATTTTATGCTTGTCATACATGATACGAACTAGATTATATTTTTTTACGAATTTTCATTGTAGGGAGGATAAATGTTGTCTTTTCCGTGACGCCAAAATAAAGGGAATTACAAATATTAATTTAATTTTTTTATTTAATTTTTTTATTATCCTTTCTTCGATGATTATTTTCTACTGTTGACATTTAAGATTAATTTGAAAAATTCCTTTAACGATTTTATCTTCATTCTGCGTGTTTAAAATTTTTTCGAAATATAGTTTTTGGGTAATAAAACCAAAATTTCCATGTTTGATGCAAGAACATGTTTTGCGATCTTTAGCTTTAGGATAAACTACTCAGAATGGATTACAATCATGATACAAAGAAAACTTTGAATCTTTGTATCATGGATTACAATCTAAAGAAATTGGTGAAAGAAACTGATACTCTAGCAAGTGTCACAGAAATGTGTTGTGAATATTATATTGTGTGAAAATGACGTCACGGATTGGACATTTTAAATTAATAATAATAATAATATTAATAATAACGTTTATTGTCCAACAGATATAAAATCCATTTACAGAACAATTACATACAAGAAATTAAAATAAGTCCTAATATTATTAAAAAAATATATATACAAAAAGAGGTATATTAAGGGACATCAACTAAAATGCTTGTCACCAAAATGTTTTAGGTTCTTTTTTAAACAAAAATTAGTTAATAACTCTATAGAGTTAAATTAAATAAAATATATTATACTTATGACTGGAGAAACAATATTTTTCCAGCAGTCAGTAAACTTTTCTCTGTGAACCTATACACAGAGAATAGTAATCTCTTGATTTAAAAAAATGCATTTATTTGAAACACGTTTTCTTGTATGAAGTAAAATTTTCTTATTCGTAGTAACTTGTTGTTTACAATAAGAAAATATTATTATTTGGTTGTAAATCATAAGTTTCTTGAAAACAACTTATTGTTGTGATTAATTAATTTAATTGTAAAGAAATATTTATTTAGAGCATTTTATTAAATTGTTTGGATGTAGGTTTTGTTTCTTAAATAAGCTTCTACTAAACCTGAGATAAAAAGTCAACTAGATATTTACTTGTATAATACAAGTTAATACAAGTTGTATTAACTAAATATCAGTTAAAAAAGTCAAATAAACACAAGTTTGCCACTAAATAAATATCTTCTTGTAGATATCGAAATAAATAAGCATACACTGAGAGAAAGAAATATTTGTTAATAACGAGGCACGTTAACTATTAACATATCGTTGAGTTGGATATGGCGAAAGAAATATTAATTTGGGTCTAAGAACTGGTTAAGTTGAATTAAAGAAGCTCATAACGTATTAGCAAATGTAGATATAAAGGGTGGGCCATCTATAAGTTGAATTTTAAACTACGTGCTATTAATGAAGCTTTCAACTCAAGCGCTATGAATTGTTGACAGTGGTTTAGTTTTAACCTTCCGATTACAAAATATGCACCGAATAAATTTGGATCAACGTTTCGAAATACTCAAAACTTACTTTGAATGTGACTGTGATCGCAGAGACGGCAAGAAAATTGCGTTTGGAAGAAATGAGGCGCCGTCAAACCAAAGTATTACAAATTTGATCAAAAAATTGCTGGTGGACATAAAACATGTTTCGCATGCTCGTCCTAGACGTACACTTGAAGCAATCGCTGCTGTGGCCGAAAATGTACGCATGAACGCGTCAACATCAACTCGGCCTTTCCCGTACCACTCTGAGGATGATTCTGCACAAAGACCTCGGTATGTTTGCGTACAAAGTCCAGCTTGTTCAGGAGTTAAAGCAAGTTGACCATCCACAACGTTTTCGCTTTGCTGAGTGGGCTTTAAACCAGTTGAACGATGACCCTAATTTTGCAAAAAAAAATTATCTTTTCGGATGAGGCGCATTTTTACCTCGGAGGTTATGTAAACAAGCAAAACTGTAGGATTTGGGCCACGGAAAATCCACACGTCGCAGTAACAAAGCCTATTCACCATTTAAAACAAAACATTCAAGCTTAAATTGCCTAAACTTTTGACAAAGTGCTCGAAAATTGGTGTTCCAGGATGGGCTACTGCCGAGCCAGCTGAGGTGGCCACTTAAATAAAATCATTTTCCATACTTAATCGGAAGAAACATTGTATCAAATAAAGCAAAATTCTTTGAAAAAAAATCAGGTGTTCTTGTTCTCATTGCTATTTTATAATTCAACATAAACATGGCCCACCCTTTATTAACTGTTAATATATCGAAATTCCGCTCAATGTTTTGAGAATATTTGCAATCATTATTTTTGTATTTTTCTCAAATGGCTTTTTTTCATATTAAATAAAATGTGTTGGCTATAGTTTTAAAATGATACCAGCAAATATTTTGTAAAGTATTCTTGAATTTGCCTTAAATTCAATCTCTCGCGCGAAGCAGGAAAAATAATATTTTGATTTACCTAATTACATGGAAATTAAAAATACTATAAAACTATCGTGCTTTTTATAAATGCTCCGTTTTTATCAAATTAATCCCGCCTTTCTTGAAGTTCTTGTAAAAAACTACGGCAATGTCACATGCTTGCGCATATTGCATTTAAAATTATGTTGACAAAATTGTTGACAACATTTAATGTTAAAACGATTTATTATTATTCGAATTTAGGTATATTAACTGTTAATATATCACAGTTCTAAGACAACTTTATCCTTTATTTGTCTGAAACACAATCACCGGACAATGTTATAATAATTATTATAATAATAATTATAATTAGTATATAATTAGTAAATAAATATTTCTTTTTCTCAGTGTAAGCATAAGAAAACCGGGGGAAAAATACGTGCATTTCTGTAATGATCACCTACCAGAGGTCGTGTGGCATGTTAATTTAGTTCACATGATTTTTATAGGAACTCCTACGACAACCTAAAAAAAATTGTTAAAAATAGGTTTTTAGGGGACTAACTTTACCCTGGAAAAGTGGTTGGGCACCTTGTGGCAAAATAGCTGTAATTAAAAAAAATGCTGATTTTTTTCCGACCTTCCTAATTACACGCCCATCAGGAATGTAAACAGAGGTGTTAAATTACCGCACGAGTATTCCGGACACGTGGACAAACCGCAAGGATTAAAGTTTATCCAGCAACCCCTGCGGGGTTTGGGCGTTTATTTAATAAGGATTCAGGACGCAACATTTGTTTCCAATAACTTTTCCGAAA